ACAGTATAAAGAAGAGTGGTGTTGGCGAGTAATGAGGCAGCCAATATTATGAAAATAAAAAACAAATCACTTGGTAATAGAAACTGTGACAGTATTTTTTTTTTTTTTTTGCAAATCAATATATCTCAAACTTTTTGCTCATTTAAGCCGATCAGAACAAACGTAATCTGAGCTTTAGTCGGGAGAGAAACTAAAAATATGGGCCAAAACAATACAAAAAACACAAAATAATAACGAAAAGCCCAAACATTTCCTAATAACGAAATTGCTGACATGGACTTTCTGATCTGACGCCTACGTGGCATTCTTGAGTAGGAGAGAAACACTATTTTATATAATATATTCTTTTTCTATTTGTGAAAATAGAATTAGGTGTATGGTTATTGTGTTTTTATATAAAAAAATATAAAAAGTTAATTGTTTCATTAATTTGCATGCACAAATTTAAAATGACATTTATAATGAAACATATACAGTATTAAAAACCTTTTTGATCCGAACCTAACCTTCCAATCTGGCTCAATGGTGTTATAGTGTAATTTTGTCATATGAATTCGTTAGGTTTTTCTAATTTCAGACTCTAATCGTTTATTAAAAGAACAACTTTACTAAGAAATAAGAATCTACACCAGATCAATTATTGGTCATTAACTTACTTTACATTGAAAATATTTTGGAGACTAAATGACATCATAATGAATTTAAGAAAACTTAACCAACGTTTGTTCGAGCCTTATCATACAAAATAAAGCAACGCTTGATAAAGTAATAATAATGTAAACATTAAGTAAAATATAAATTTTTGTTGGAAAATATAATATTAAATTTTGAAATAACAAACACTGGACATATGTAAACAAAATTAGGAATTAAACATACACATAATTTTGAAATATATGTCTTGGACTTAGTGGAAATGTACTTCCTCCTCGCAAAAAAATGTTGTTATAAGCTAAAATTCCACATAATCAAACACCTGATAACTAATTATCATGTCATTTATTCCTCATTGTTATTGTTTCTGAAATTAATGACACGAGAATTAGTTACCATATATTTGATTATGTGGATTTTATATTTTCAGACTGATGCTTACGCTATGACAACGTGTTATAATCTACGTTCCAGGGTTTGTCCAAACTAGTCAGATGGATTTTATCGAGGGTGGTGCTGTGCCATTTCTTCAGCATCCACTTTAAGAGACCCTTAAACTGAGATTATGCAATACAAATTTGGAAGGTAGTCTAATAACTGTTTTTTTTGTTATATACAACTTTCCTAATACAAAAATAAATATGAAACATGATTCAACGCCGGGACCATGTTGGCTAGGAGTCGGCTTCAGCAATGCCACTAACCTCTTGCCTATTGGCCATTGGCCAGTTGAAATCTTCAGCCGCTTCAGTGATCACGCCGAGAATATACAGTGGAGGAGGCGAGATTGTCAACAACAATGCATTTGGCCGACACACCTCTACAGAAATGGGTTCAGGATATATTCTCAGCAATGACAAAGCCGTGTACATGCGTCATTGACGGATTTCCGTCAACTGATATGATTTCCATCTTGTTTCCAGTCTCGCAGTAGGAGCGACCAACTCTACAGACTACAGCATTGAGAAGTTCAACAACACAGAGTTTCTCTGACGAGGGACCTGCGCATGGTTCACGTTAGATTAGTTGTTGTTTGTCTAGTTTCCTTTGTATTTAAAAAAATCGCAGACAAATCCTCAAAGTATCACTTACTCGCACTTTAAACTTTGAAGTTTTGTCATTAACACTTTTAAATTTCAAAGTGACATTTGTATCATAAAAATCTCTAAATTAAAAAAAATAACCAGTATTATAGGTAAAAGAATGATGTGTCAGTTTTTTTTCATAAAAAGTATTTATTTAATAAAATAAACAAAAAACTAGATAAAAGTTCAAATTTTTTTAAAAAAAAATTGGAAATTTAATAAAATCAAATAAAATTCAGATAAAAAAGCTCACAAAACTAAATAAATATTTAAGAAATTAAAAAATTAACTAAAGATTAAAAGATAATAAGACCAATTTAAATAAAGACTAAAAAAATCATAAAATTTCAAAAAATGAATTCAAAAGTCAAAATTTCAAAATAGCTTTTTTTCATTTTCAACGATATGTCAGAAACTATCATTGGAGATATGCTAAAAACTGTCATTGTTAATGGTTAAGTGAAAAATCATCATCGTCATAAGTGATATATTTGGAGTTGTTATTGTAAACAATAATGATATCTTTTAAAAAAAATATCTTGTAATTTATAATACAATATTGCAGCAGACTTTTTTCAACTGGTGAAGATGGTGTTATCGCCTAGAGAATGGCCAGCTTTTGCTACACATTTGGAAGAGTTCCAGCGTAGTAAGTCTTTTTTTCCTACCTTCTAAATCCAACATATTTCAAAAGCTCATAATTCAGTGGCGAACAAGCTTGCACGCGGTGCTAGGTGTTCCTCTTCTGCTATATTCTATGTCGATTCTATGCATCCGGTTTGGTTCACCGAATCGAGAGACCGTATGGTTTAGTTATTTATTGTTGTCAAAAAAATTATAATACAATATTTTGATTTTGAATTTTTCTATTTTAAAAAAATATATAATTTTTTTAGTTTTTTCTATATTTTAGTTTAATCTTATTTATTTTTTGAATTTTCGTTATTTTTATTTTTATTTAATTTTCTAAATTACATTAAATTTATAAATCTTTACATAATTTTCTGAACTTTTTTAAAATAAATGTTTATTTAATATGAGTTTTTATTAAATTTTCTGATTTATTTAATTTTCAGAATTTTTATTTAATTTTTGTTTATTATATTAATTAGATAATTATCTTTAAAAAGAAAAACTGACACCTCATTTTTCACCTATACAACTGGTCAACTTTTTACTTTGAAAGTTTTTTTGTGATAAATGTCACCTTAAATATTAAAAGTGTTAGTGAAAAGAATTCAAGATTTAAATGTGAGTAAGTGACACTTTGATAGTTTTTATTGATAGTTTTTATGCGATTTTCCGTTTATATTTATGTTGCATCTTGAGGGCTTGTATGTCACTTATCACCTTATATTTATGTTAGGAACACTGCGTGTGCTTTTGGTATGCTTCAATTAATCTACAAACAAGTAAATGTACTTTACGTTTGGGTTCCTTTGATTTTATTAAGCACTTCAATTATCACCTTGTATTTATGTTATGAACACTCGTGTTTTTGATTGTTTTGATTTATTAAGGAAATGCTAGTATTAACCTATGCTGTGAGTTACCATATAGTGTACTTCTTTTGATGTTATTAAACTATATTTTCTAATTATCAAATCACAAGTAATTTCTTTTTGGATTTAAAATCTTAGTCAAAACAACCATAAAATTCCAAAATATTGTTATTGACCTGAACAGAAGTCAAATATTTACTAATTTATGCACCTTTTCACTAACAAATATGTGAAATACATTTTTCTCTCAATGTTGCACACCTTTCTGATTATTAGACATAAAAGTACAGATAACATTACGCTAGAAGTTTAGCTAGTTCATCTACTTTCAGTGTTCCATGAGGTATGACTTCTCTGTAATCTTCATCAAGCTCATCCATTTTCTTCTCAACTCCTTCCTTCTCCTTCCCCTTATATCTCTCAACCCTCACTGCAACTTCTTTTCTTCCAGGAATCACATCACTACTTGTCTTTGCCTCCAAGTTCTGGTACCTGAATTCTCGGATCTCCTCTTTCTTAACCGCTGGTTGTTTCCTCAACCCATGCTTGAAAACTGGTCCCGGTGTAGCTACACTCGAAAAGGCCACGGCTTTTGCAAAGACTGTGTCTGGATCAAGATCAGCAGCGTCTAACACCAACGCAGCCCCACTCTCTACAGCTTGTTTCATCATGTTTAAAACTCTCTCCACGCTTTGTCTGTTGATCTCTTCCGTTGTTTCTGACTCCTCTTCAGGAGAGTTATCTGCAGTAACATCTTCTGTAGACGAGGTCTGTAGAGTAGTGCTTGTGCCTTCCATTGTCGAGATATCTACAGTTGAAGAGCTCAAATCATCACTATCTGGATCGTTATGCGATTCCATAGGACTAGAAGAAGAGTTCTGGTTCACAGTTCGAGTCAGATTTAGTGACTCTGATGCTTCATCCTCTTCCGGAGAGATAGTATCAACTTCGATATCTCTGAGGATATCATCCTTTTTATCTGGAACTGTGAGAGATGATTTCCATTCTCGTCCCCTCCAGATAAGAATCTGCTCGTTTTCAAAAGATATGAGCACGCATGGAACAAGATCCTGCGAGCAAGAGCAACAACACATCCAAGAGGTTCAACAAAGAGGCCGTAAACACAAGATTTTTACATAAGTGAGTGAATAAGGATAAGATCAAACCTTGAGCTTGGCACCAATTTTCCTAAAATCACTGCCTTTGATCCCTTGACAATCGATCCGAACCAATTCACAAACTTCAAATGCTTCTCTCACATTTTTCACAAGGTCACAATACACACCATTCTTTCCTACAAGACCCAACCCCAACACAAGATAAAGTTACCATCGTCCCTCTTGAAGAGAACCATGCCAAGATTATTTATTATTATCAAGAAGTTACCTAGCTTGCAAATGGGCATGAGCTCTCGGCCTTTCCTCCGCATCGCCGTAGCTTCCTTAAGAGTTAAACCCTCAGGAACTTGTTGAATCAGCCTTGGATAAACAGGTGCTACAGGCTTCCACAACATAAGAGGGAACCGTTGTCTTGTCCTGTGGTTATAGTTTCTGCCACGGAAAAGAAAAATCACACCTCCTCTTCTGTATATCACCTTCCCACCAATTTTCTCCTGCCAATTCAATTCACATCTTCATGAAGTTGAATACAAAACGCGATCAAAAAACCACCGTAAGAAATCAAAAGAACCTCTAGCTGCTCGCAAACGTTATCCATGTCGACTGTACAAACTCCCTTGCATTTAATCTTACAAACCCTTCGCCGCTTCCATAGATCATGTATGTTGTTCAACATGTTATGCGTCAAGCCATCTCTGCCTGCAGCAGAGAAGATAAGAGACAAAGAACTTTAGGTCATTTCTTCTTCTACTCTCAGTCTAATATAACTTGCATCCTACCAGAGCTTCTACCCGTACTATATAACCAAGACATTTGATCATCAAGAACACCCACTGATCTCGCAAATGCAACAAAGAAAAACATCTTCTCTACTCTCAGTCTATTATAACTTGCTTTCAGCAACTCAGTTTCAGTGTCCCTAAACAACAGTACATGAGCTTCTACCAATACTATCTGAATCAAGCAAACTCAAGGATAAAGTAGTGAGCTTTGTACCCATATTCAATTGCCTTGTAGTCTTCAAGCAAGAAGTAACAAGCTCTCTGATCTCTTCCTTTGTCAACGGCTCTCCCAAAATCTCCTCCTTTGTATAAACATACCTAGGCCCCACCCCGGGCCGAAAAGGACCCGGTTTCTGAACCGGCTTCACTCCCTTCTTCCCCACCGGCGGCAAGCTAAAAGAATCAAACTCCCTCGGCGTCTTCTGCGACTGAGGAAGCGGAGCACGACCAGTCCACGGCCTCCCCATCGTCGTGGGGCCAAAAGGCGCGTAGGGAGCCTCGCGAAGCTTCAAAGGCTTCACCTTTGGCGTCTCCGTGTAGCTGTACTTGAACTCGAACGGAGCTCCGTCGATGACGTAAGTCAACCCGTCTTCGCTCAGCTTAACCTCCGGCTTCGCGTCCACCTGGGGCGGAGAGTCGGGGACTTTGGGTTTGTTCTTGGGCCTGTTGGGCCCGTAATCGGGCTTGGAGTATTTGGATCTCCGGCCCGGGATCGATCGAGCGGACGGTTGCGAAGGAGTGCCTCTGGACCTGAAAGGAGAGGTTTTGGGCTCGGATGATGCGGCGGAGGAGTCTTGTGTGTGGACGATTGAAGTGGCGGCGTCGAAACGGCGGTCGCGGCGGATTTCTGCTTCGAGCTCCTCTTGGGTACGGCGGCAATGCTCGAACCGCTCAGCGTTAGCGTTGCCCCATCTGGAGAATCGGAGCTCGCTGGGTCCTCTTGGGTTCGGGTTTGGGAACAGAGATGGCGCGAAAATTGGGAAAGGGATGTTGAGTTTCAACGACATTGCCGGAGGTCGGAGGGACCTGAAGGTTTTGCGCACTTTATCCACAGGCGAAAAAATAAACTATGGGGTCAAATTTACGAAAGGTTAAAAATAAAGGGTCGAAATTGAGCCATTTGTATAGCCAACCTCTCAAAACTAGACTAGTATGCACATTTCTTGGTCCACAGATTGTATAAAAACTAAAATTGGTTAAACCAGGACAAAACATTCGGACCTCAAAAAAACAAACCGAAACCAATATGAATTAGAAATTACCAAATCAAACCGTATTTATGTTTAATTCTGATAAAACTAACTGATATAGACCGTATATGACGGATAAATTTGGTAAGTTGAAATATAAATTTTTAAGCGGATTGTGTCTCTAACCGAATTTTAAAATATGAATTAGAAAGTACCAAATCAAACCGTATTTACCATTTCAAAATAGAATAACTAACCGAATTTTAAAATGGATTGTATTAATTACTATTTCAAAATAGAATCCCTTATATATTAAAGGAGAAACATTTAAAAAATTGTAACATCAATATTGTAATAATTAAAAAAGATCTCATGCTTAGGTGTCACTCAATTAGATAGTCAATTACATTCAATTGAAAAATAATTAGGTCCACATTCGATTTTTATATTTCACTAGATACATTCGTTGGTCAAATTATATGATATGATGATATGATATGATATTTATGATAAAAACATTTATGATTGTTCCCCTAGATATATTATTATTTTATTTTTTTCCATAAATATAACCTACGAAATTACCATAAATGACTAATATATATATATGACACTTAATGATTCTAATAATAAATATTTGATAACAGTTTATATATCCTCCATCATTTTTCTTTAATTTTATATTATTAAAATAAATTAAACAATCAAATTAGCTATAAAATTAAACTTTAGATTTTTTTTCCTATAGGTTATATTTTGAATTTTAAAAAACGAGAATGAATAACTAAACTATTAAAATTATTATGTTAAAAATTAATGATAAATAGTTTAACATTTTTATTATAAAAAGATATACATGATTTTAAAACCATATAAGTAAAAAGTATATATCATTCAATAATAAAACAAATATATATATATATAGATTAAACTATATACCATATAAGATTACATAAATATTTTAATTCCAAAATCCTGAATAAATTTTCAAGAACATTTATAAATTATAAAATTACTAAATTTTTCATATTGAAAATTTTTGTTATCAATTATTTAAATATCTTAGTTCTTTTTTTAATTTATATTTTTAAAAGATATTAACAATCGATAATATGGTTATTTTTGGTATATACCATACAAACCGAATGGATGTGATTTTATAAATACCATAGGATTTGGATATGGTTTGATTTATAACAGATTAAACTGATGAACATGTAAATATGTATATATTTATAACGACGCATGAATATCTATTTGTTACATGAGTTGAACTATAAATATAATTTGTAAATAGCTAACAATTTATTACAACTTGGACTTCTTATTTTGATATTTTTCCATTTTTAACAGTAACTAAATTGAAGTAAAGATTATAAATTTGATAGACAACAATTAGTTGAAATTCTTTGCAACTTTTTTTTTATCTTTAAACAAACAGAGTTGTGTTTAATCGAAGACATATTGGTTTGATGAACACTAAATAAGGAAGAATATAAAAAAATTTCTTTCATGCTTCTGTTTTGTTTTTTATTTTTATTTTCAAAATTTAGTGTTTTGATATTAATCATAGATTTGATCATTTTATTAGATGATAGAAGCCTTTTTGTTTTTTATTCTTTTATTTAAATATATAATATTTTTTTAATAAATGACTATGTGACAATATGACTCTAAATATGATCATATTATATATTTGTATAATATATAATATGATCTCAAACTAAATAATCATGTTTTTTGGTATAAAATTGAATAAACTGAAAACCGATGGTATATAAACCAAATCAAACTGAAGTACATAAAGATTTAGAATAATAGTTATATTTTAATAATCGAAATACCAAAAGATCGAGACGAACCGAAACCCGATATCCGGATTGAACACTTCTAATCCAAATGAAACCGAACTATTGTTTCATTTTTCAAAACCTAATAAAAATAATAGCTTCATCCCGCGCAAGGTGCGGGTCTTATCCTAGTATGATCAATATTTGATAAGTACTCACATAAAAAATAGGTTTCAAACAAATTATGCCAACTGAGTGAATTAAGGCTGAAATCAACCGTCCGAATTAAAAATAAATAATAAATGACTTGTGTATCTCAAGCACCGAAATACCTGAGAAAAATCTGATCTGAATTTGAATGCTCATACCCAAAATTGGTTAGTCCATGAGTTATTGAACAAGGAATATCAGGTAGTTTATAACATCTTTTGATGCCTCAGTACACTTGATCTAATGAAAAATTGTAGTACATGAAAAGTGAAGGAGATATCAAGTACAAAAAGATCTCTACTCTATTAGTTGTGGATGGCTAAAGACTTTTTTTAAGTCTTTGACCACCCATATGTTATTGTGTTTATGATCTTCTCATAATTAGTGCTGATTTTTGTTTTGTTGAAGCTACAAATCAAAAAAAAAAAAAATCTGGTTGGTTAGATTTGAAACATTCATCTCTTATAGAAGATAAAGTCTTTTTTATTTTTTTGACAACAATAATAACTAAGTAAAGATAAAGTCATTTAACAATTGAATTAAAATCATTTTTGTAATATTGTGTGGCTGATATTATAATTATAATATAAAAGTCAGAAATTCATGTTTTACGGGCTTCTCGCAAGGGCCGACTCTGATCATAGTTCATCTGAAATTGAAACCTTTAGAACAAAGCTTTATTCTAAAACAAAACTCTTATAACATAGAGTTTTTGTAACTTAGCTCCTCGAGAGGCAGAGTAGGCTTTCCATTGCCTTGTCAAAACGTCTTGTTCCACTTCCTGTGAGGGATGAGATGCGATGTCGAAGTGTCTAATCAATTGATTGTGTGAGACTTATTGCTTCGATTGACTTAGATCTACTCGATTGCTTGTGATATAATGAATAAGAATACACACAATGGTTACCCAGATTCACTGCACCTCCTCAACATGAAGAGGCCGCTATATCTTCTGGGGCTGATCCTTGATCAACAATCCACTACTTAGCTCAAGATAGAGCTTGGATTACAACTTCACCACTGTTTCTAGATCTCTCTCTCTCTCTCTCTATCTCGCTATCTCAACAACCTTACTTCTCTCTTAGCTCGAGCTTTGGGTTAAGTACTAACGGCTTATACTTCGCTTTTTCACAACTCTTAACCCACGTGATAATACACGTGACTCTAGCTTACCAAACCGGTTAAGCTAATACACCTAGAAACTGTATCTTCAACCTTCGCTTGTTAACTTTTGATGTTAACTCCTCCTAAGGAAAAAAACATTCAGCTTTGGAACTCTTCTTCTGTGGCCTCTTCTTGACAACTCCTCCTGAAACAAACTCGCTCAGCTTCTTATTTTCTGATAAACCCACCAGACCTTTATAACTTAACATCATTGATATGATCAGTTCTCTGAAATTCTGAGAAACTTCAAAGCGTCTCTCATCTTCCAAACTGGTAGCACCTTGGTGAAGATATCTGATGGATTGTATTGAGTAGCTATCTTCACCACATCAATTATCTTCTCACTGACCAATTATCGAACAAACTTGTACTTCACGTCTACATGTTTTGTCTTCTCGTGATGAACAGGATTCTGTGAGAGTGCAATAGCACTCTGAGAATCACAAAATAGTTCAACCATATCTTGTTCAAACCCCAACTCGTTAATGAAGCCTCTCAACCACATAGCTTCTCTTGATGTTTCACCTAATGCAATCCACTCTTCTTCGGTAGTTCATAAAGCAATTGACTTCTAAAGACTTGATCTCCAACTTACAACATTTCCACCAACTGTAAAAACCATCCCAGTGATTGATCTTCGCTTATCCAACTCAGCCGCATAATCAGAATCACAATACCCTTGACCCACCAACATTTCCACTCTCACTTAACATACTTCGAACTTTTTTCATAATGCTTCTGTTCAACCTCTCTGCCACTCCATTCTGCTGAGGCGTGTAAGTACAAGTTATATGCCTCACAACCCCTTCTTCCTTACAGAACCTGTCAAGCCGGATGTTGCAATAGCCATGACCATTATTGGTTCTTAACTTCTTCACTTTCCTTTCAGAGTGAGTCTCAACCATTCGCTTCCACGCTGCAAATTTATCAAACGCCTCGTCTTTCTTAAAGAAGTAAATCCAGACATTTCTAGGCCAATCATCAGTAAACAAAATGAAATACTGACAATATCTAATGTGAGGCTTATGTCTCTTGGGCCACCTATTGGGCTTCGTCTTGGGCTTCGGATTGAACCTGAAAAAAGACAGAAAGTTATTAGTCTAAGTCCATTAAGGAATTTAATTCCTTATAGCTTTGGGACAAATGTTATTCCTTCTACAACAAGGATTAACATGTTTAGGTTTAGTATAAATAGAATGTGGGAACCGAAATCCACACTGTCGATTTTCCGTCAAATATGGAAACTTAGGGTGAAACCCTAATTCTCCCGAGGTCCCGGATCTCTGCGGAAATCACTAAAACAAACGAGTTTAGAAGAATATGGATGAACAACAAAGAATAAAGAGATAAGAAATTGTAAGAAAGCTTTTATTGAATAAGAATCGACAACTGTTACAAGTAGAATTAAAGAACTTAGACGTCAAAACGTTCTAAGGATCTGAATTGCTAGTCTAAACGCAAAGTCCTAAATTCTA